GCAGTGACTGTAACATCGAGCGTATTTTGCAGTATTAAACACGTATTTATACCGATTTCATCAGGCTCCGAAAATTCTTCAAAAAGAACACAAAGAATGGCCTTCTCAGCTGCCATAGCTGCAACTCTTGCGTCATCAGAACAGAGTTCAACACACCACCGTTTCCGTTTAAAACACGTTTTGCAACGTTTTGTCGGGGCTGAACGCAGCCCTGATTGAGAGCTGTAGCGCTTGTTTTTACAGTACGCTGCGAATCTGTCCCACCTAAATTTCTGGAGCTGCTGCATTTTTATATATTAAAAAACAAGTTGTATATCATCCCTATGATTTTTTATTAAATAAGAATTTTGAATAATGAAAATGATTTTGTTTCTGCTTATTGCAGGCTGTTCATCAGAACAATTAAGGAAGAAACTACAGTTTCCGTATATAATTTCTGGTTTAAAAGAGGAAAAATGAATGCACGACGTGGACTGAACTGGAATAGGGTAGAGTGGGGGAAACGCCGCTACTGTTTTTCTCAAAATAACCACTAGATAAAGTCTAGATACATTTTTGTTGCAACTATGGACTGTGTTGACAAGAGTGATGTAGAAGGATTCACCATGAAGCTCACACTGCTGATGAACCTGAGCGAAAACAGATTTCACAGGAAGTGATCTAATTTTCAGCAGAATAAGAAAAAAGTGTTTTAAAGCTTGCTGTTTTGTAGAACATCACAGTTATATATGATATGAGAATAGTAAGGCCTGTAGATAGAGAGTACGTGTTATTTAAGAAAAATATCATTATATTTTCAGAATTACAATTTTTTTTTCAAACCTAGTCTGTGGGGTAAAACGCCCTCAAGGGGCGTGGCTTAGTTACTCAAATCCTTTGTTTTTCCATCAAATGTATTCTAATTGGTTGAATAAAAATATTTGTACTTTATATTTATAAATTACCTCAAGTTAGCATCAGGTAGCAATATTTTTGAAATAGACTAATATAATTTTGTAATTCATAATTATTGATTATATTATTTTTAATTTTAAGCTAAAACTGCCTGTACTCTGATTTTGCTGTAAATGTATAAAGCAAATTGCTTTGTCAGACTGGGGGCATTTTACTCCACCTGTGAGGAAAAACGCCCCCAGGTACAAATTTAATTTTTGTTAAAAATCTAATAACATGAAAATAATTATGTCATTGTCACTAAAACTATGATAACTATTCTGGACAAATTTAACTTAGTTTCACAGAAAAAAAATTATACAGTCCTTAAGGGCGTTTTACCCTACCCTACATAATTTCAAGTTTCATCCTTCACTCAAATAAAAATAAACTATATATTTTCAGCCTCTGCAGGCGGGGCACAGAAGAGGGCCTATAGTCTTTCAGCGTTTTTCTTTCGATTTTGAATTCAAGGCGTTGAAATGGTGTCAGGTAAGAATCTAATTATGTACAAAAATATAAAGCAACGTTTCCTCAATGATATATGAAGTATTCATGAAACATTAGACTACAGGCAATGGTTTACTTCAATTATTTTTTCACTGCGCTTTTACATTTATGTTTAAAAGTGGCATTGAACACCAGGAAGACACTGACATAAAAGGTTACACATAGATGTGAAATGGCTTCGAGGAATTAGGTCGTGTAAAATGGCTTTTTATTTCACTACGAGCAAAAATGCTGCCTAAACTAAACTGCAGTTTGATTTCAAGCGTTGGTGTTAAAATCGCATCAAGTTCAGGAATCAGATATATCAAATATGTGCAGCAACGTTTTCCTCAATGCTCTACTTCGTTTGGTTTATTAAATTATGTTTCACTGCACTCTTTAACTCCAGGAAGAAACTAATAACCTGTAGGCTAAAAGGCGACATCTCACATTTTTATACATATAGCCTAAAACTTTTCAGTACACATCAGATCGGCTATCTTATTATAGTTTTACGTTTTTTAATTCGTTTTTGTTTTAATATCATTTTCAGTGTTGCTATAAATTTCAGTTTCGTTTTTATTAGTTGTTCTACATTCGGTTTCGTTTTAGTTTTTATTCTGTGAACACATTTCTTTTTAGTTTTTATATATTTTAGTTTCAGTTTCAGTTTTAGTAATGAACCTTTATTAGAAGTAACAGAACACAGCAGGCCAAAGCAAGTTTTAATTTAAGCTAGTGAAGCAAACGTGTCACTCTGCAACGTCATCACTGCACCATGTCCCTCTCGATAAAAACAGCGTTGCGGGGGGCACCGAAACTTTAGCATTGTGCATGTGATGTATGGTAGTAATGTTAATATGTGTGCGTTATTCTTCAATTACATCATATATTCATACTGGCATTTAATGCCATGGGTAAATAATTTCATAGAAAGAGTTAGGCTTTTATTTGTGCACATAATATTGGGGAAATGAAGCCTCATGAAGCACTGATACCTCTAACTTTTTCCGTGAAAAGATTTAAAGCTTCGAGAGTGTCGAAAACAGCGCCATCTTGTAGTTAGCAAAAAATAAAGCAGCCAAAACCTGTGAAAGACGCTCCGTCGGACGAAGCACGCACTCCAAAAGTCTTAAGTGTCCATTTTTAAATGAATTGACAAAATGAAGTTCTTAGCAATGCATATTACTAATCAAAAATTAAGTTTTGATATATTTACGGTAGGATATTTACAAAATATCTTCATGGAACATGATCTTTACTTAATATCCTAATGATTTTTGGCATAAAAGAAAAATGTATAATTTTGACCCATACAATATATTGTTGGCTATTGCTACAAATATACCCCAGCGACTTAAGACTGCTTTTGTGCTCCAGGCTCACAAATAGCTTCAATGTTATGTGTACTGTACAAACAAAAGCCTAACAGTGTGTGTGTGTGTGTGTGTATACCTGTTTTTCTATTCTGGTGGGGACTTAAACCTGAATACACACAGACTCATGGGGACTCGTGTCACGGTGGGGACCTAAATTGTGGTCCCCACGGGTAAACAAGCTAATAAATCACACAGAATGAAGTTTTTTGAAAATCTAAAAATGCAGAAAGTTTCCTGTGAGGGGTAGGTTTAGGGGTAGGGTTGGTGTAGGACAATAGAATATACGGTCTGTACAGTATAAAAACCATTACGCCTATGGAGAGTCCCCACAAGGATAGCTGACCAGACATGTGTGTGTGTGTGTGTGTGTGTGTGTGTTTGTGTGTGTGTGTTGAATTTCTCCTCTGAATTAATTTACCCATTAAACTGTGGCATTAAATGCCAGTACGAATATCAAGATAATGTAATAGAAGAATAATGTACACATATTTGAATTGCATATGGCAAGTATTTTATCTTTCAGAAATAATTTGAATTCTTCATATCACTTGTATGACTGGCTATTTAAATATGTAATTAAATAAGTATGAATGAAAACTTACTCATAAATTAAGATCTGGGGGTGCGAACCGACACACAAAGCGACTACCGCACGTGATTGGACAGAAAGTGAGGCTTTGCTGTGAAACCAACACACATCTCTATACAGGGCTTTGCTGGAGATGTAATAATGTAATAATACCTGTCTAATTGACTTTTCTTTTCTTATCTCTTCATAGCCTTGGAAACATATTTTATCTGGGGGGTGCTGGGGGGCGGGGCTTGATGTTGAAG